GCAAATTGTGTATTGAAGCGTTAAGGTGTAAGTGAATGAAATTTCTTTTTTTAAATGGTTGAATTATACCAGATACTATGTATGAGGTATAAAGGTGGACAGCAGGAGCTGAAGGTGAATTAATGTGTCCATCCACCCTAGCAAAACCCCCAACAACCTTACTTTTCATGTTGATTCAGTGTCAGTACACTGCCTCTTTCAGTCACATGATGTCTGTCTTTGTGTTAAAATACCAGCAGTTACATGGCTTGTAGAGTATGTAGAATTTGAGATTTGTACCCATTTGGTGGTCAGGCTATGATGAGATATACCATGTTTAAAAGTCAAATGGCACCTCAGCAGCAGGCATTAAAGGCCAACAGATGCTTGGCATAAAGGGGACGAAAAACAGAAGGAGAGAGTGAGATTAAAATGAGATGCAGGGGATTATTAAAGGGCATTAAAATGACACAGAAGATTATTCTGATGTTGGTGACACCAACCTAAGGTCAGCATTAGACACTGCAGGTCCAGCAGACAATCATAAAGGAATAAACAAGCTAGCAGGAACATGCATGGACACAGTTTAGCGAGTATGGGTACAATATCCACAAAAACGCTCGTCTTGCACTGGCAGTCAGTGAAAATCTATTTCATTGTGGGTTTGTCTGTTATTGTGTGATTAGAGCCTTCTGACCTTCTTATTTCTATATGTGTTCAAAGTAAACATGGCAATCTTTGATCATATTATCCCCTAAATACCATTTGCACTCATTCCAGTAGTTACAGATGGTCCAAAAATGAGGCTAACCTTGTCCTTTGGTTTAGCAGTGGGATTGACACTAGAAGAGAATTGCTGCAGCAAAAGCCATGAAAGCACAGATTTAAAGCTTTGCAACTGGGTGACTCCCACCTCAATAGTATTTTGTGAGCTAGAAGCAGGTAGTTTATAAGAGAACTGAGATGAGAGGCAAAAAAGATACTCAGAATTTCTAAAGCAAATTCAAGTTTTTACTTAACTGTCCAAAGAAAACCCTGCTTACTTTAAAAGAACCGATGTCTACAGAAGACAGAAGGTCCTGGAAAATGGCAGCATTAATATTACATTGTGCTATGCTTCAGCCTTGTACAATGGGATCAGGCTAGGGACATACTGTAAAGAAAAGGCCAAAGGTGCTGGAGCAGATCACTCTGCTTCAGGTACAACATTGATAATGGAGCAGAGGCCTGACACAGGTCAAACACAGGGTATAGAACGACACAGGGGTCACAATGCTAAATCTACCCAAACCACACAAAGCAAGCTTTTCATCCCTTCTCTGGACATTCCACCAAGTCCATAATTGTCTTTGACAAAACTCATTAGCAGAGACCTTGTAACAACATCGTCAATAAGAAATGCCATGGAGGGAGACATGCACAGAAACAATGACCTGCACACATTTCATTGCACCTTTTGATAAAATGTAATGAGGTGTGCATATTGTCCCCCTCATCTAAACTCTGAGCCTCTGGACTTTGTTTTGTGAACCATAGCTGCCCAGCGTGGGACACATCAAATGGCAAATTACTGTTGGAGATGTTGTTGTTGTTGTTGTTGTTATGGTTCCTATTTGCTGTATTTGAAAAGGCCATCCCCCCCCGTTCCTGACATTGCATTGTCAACCTCTTGGTGACCAATAGCATTATATTACACAACATACCATATTGTTAAAGTGGTCTCAGCCCCTTTAAGACCCTGGTTAAGAGAGCTAGCAAAAAAATATTCAATTATGTGCTTCACTCTCATCACAAGACATGCAGACTTATTATATCGCTGATCCACATTAAGAACGTTATACAGATTTATTTTACAATGCATTTAGACATTTATCTGACAACTCTTACAAGATGTGTAATAGCCGGAGAAAGGGTGAAAAATCCTGTATACAGTGTGTGAGAACACTGGCATTTACTGTAAATTGCTTCAGCTTTGTTATTTTGATAACCAATTAGCAGTACTGTTAATCCGTCCATGTTTTAAGTGATTTACAACAATGAAAGTAAAAAAAGGAACACCCCCCCCCCACATAGATAAAGACACAGTAGATAAAAGCACTCTAATTCATATGAGGGTTGGTCACACAGTGATTATGTCAGACCTATTTAAGAAGTCATGTTTGCTACATATTGTTTTTCTTTTTGCACATTTGTAACTCATTCACATATTATCTAAAATCTGTTTTGGATTATGCAAACATGCCCCCCCCCCCAAAAAAAAAAAGAAAAAGTAAATTTCACAAGGAGGAAGGCCTGTATTAGATTTAGTTGTGCATATATGGGCTACCTAAATAACTTGTTATTCTCTAACACTGTAGTTTGCTACAGATTTTGTGTCTGGCATCAGATTAAAGATGTACAACAAACAAAAATAGCTTGTGTTTGTCCCCTCCTGCTGTGTCAACCACCAACACCGCACTAAAACTATAGGATACTATATAGCTATTTATCTGTCCTTACTTTCACTTTAGCCATTTTTTACCTATGACTACTCTGAAGAAGTTACAAGCTTCAGCAGCTGAGATGGTAGATGCTCTGCTACTCAACTGTTTCCCTGGTTCTTCACCAGTCAAAGCTTTATGGGAGAGTTAGCAAAGAGAAAGCCACTGTCGAAGAAAACTCATATTGAATCTCGACTAAAGTTCATCAAAAGGCACGTGGGAGACTCCATTTTCAAATAGAAGAAGGTACTTTGGTCTTTTGAGACCAAAATGGTGCTTTTTGGACATTAGACAAGACGCTATGTTTGGCGGACACCAAACACTGCACATCACCACAAACACACCATCCTTACTGTGAAGCACGATGGTGGCAGCATCATGTTGTAGGGACGGTTCTCAGCAACTGGCCCTGGAAGGCTTGTAAAGGTACAGGGTAAAATGAATGCAGAAAAATATAGGAAAATTCTGGAGGACAATCTTATTCATCTGCAAGAGACAATGACCCGAAGCACACAACGAAAGCTACACAGAAATGGTTTAAAGGCAACAAGGTGAGTGTTCTGGAGTGGCTGAGTCAAAGACCAGACCTCAATCCAACAGAGAATTTGTGGCTGGACTTGAAAAGGGCTGTTCATACCCAATCCCTGCGCAACCTGGCAGAGCTTGAGCAGTTTTGCAAAGAAGAATGGAATAAAATTACAGTGTCCAGATGTACAAGCCTGATTGAGACCTATCCACACAGACTCAGTGCTGTGATTGCAGCCAAAGGTGCATCTACTAAATACTAACTTGAAGGGGGTGAATATTTATACAATCACTTATTTCACATTACATATTTTTACTTAATTGACATTACTTTGTAGAAACCTGTTGTCACTTTTTCTTTTTGTAATTTTTCTTGTCAAAAAAGCCAAATTATATTGACCATGATTGATTTATAAAATCAACAAACTGGTAAAACATCCAAGGGGGTGAATACTTTTTCACTGTAAACCCCACTGCACATGTATAATCACTTTGCATCATTTCTTTACAGTCTGAGATTCACTTAAATTACCCATAATGCAAAGAGCAATGGATCAGGTGTCATGACTGATTACTGCTGAGGATGAAGAGAGAGGCTCCCTGTTAGCAGCTTGTCCAGGCTGTTGCAGTTGGGGCCTAGACTTCATATCAAGAGCATTCATTCCTACCTTACAGCAGGTACTGTGCTTGTGTTCCTCCACACAGTGTCTCCATCACAGTGCTGCTGTGGTCACTGTTACTTTTAACTTAAATCTCCTACAGTCGACCTTCAGTTGTATCACTTTTATTTGCAAGGGTATAAATGGTTAATTCCATGTGTCCCAGTGATGACTGGTTAATGTTAATCAGTAATGTAAGATTCAGGCCTTTGTAAAATCATGTCTGTATTTCAGACTATGTGACATAATATTGCCTACAGTAAAATTATATCTGCTTTTGCCCTAAACCTCATATACAGTATTGGGCTTCAGATTAACTAAGACAAATAAAGTGAACTTGTAAAAACATCCAGGTATGCCTTTATTATTCCTGACCTCCTTCATCCTTATCATTTAGATTTTTCCAGGATTTTTCAGGATCCCCGTGTTGCTGAGAGCTCTGCCACTGGCCACGATCACAGGATGACCACAGTGCCGGAAAGTTGAGCCTGGATTTCTCTAATATGGTATTTTGTTACAAGCATAATCCCAAATATCCAAATACAACCTCAAGTGACCATTTTGCATTTTAGCACTGTTTGCAGATATTGTTTCAGTGGCGGTCTGAGATCAAACTGAATCATAAAATCTAAAATTTTTTCTTGCTGGTGTAATAATAAATTATATTTTTCTGGATTTAGGACAGTGGAAATAATAGGCATTCACTACAGGGGAAATCTTTGATTTCATAACATAATGGAAATTATTAAAAGTATAGGCTAGGTTATCATGAATGGGTGAAAAGCATCGTTTCTCTAGATTCTGGCAGACAAGCTGTTTAAAAGTTAGTAGTGGCTATTTCACATCGTTTTCTTTGTGAAGCAAAGTTTCAGAATTGTACCGAAGTAGAGTGTGTCAGTATCAACACCCAGGCACCAGTTCGTTCAGGCAGCAGCCTTTGTGGTGTCCTGTGGTACTATTTGGTTTTAAAAGTTTGAAATGCGAGAATGAAAAAGCTGTAGTGTCAGCGCGCATCAAACACTACAGTGATCATCTTATTACAGCTGCCTAGGAGTGGCAGAGAGGCAGCCCTCAGAAAAGCACTTTGATGGACCACGTGAATATCTCTGCTGGGTTTGATCCTACAAACGACCTTTTAATTAACACAACGTTAAGTTAGTGCAGCGGCGCGCTACACAGGGGACCAAGCAGCATTCATCTCATTTTCCTGCCTGGTTACTTGGCCTGAACAATAACAAAGTGTTTGATGCCACTTCTGATTAAAAGCTAACAACAGACAGTTGGTTTCCCCTTTCTACTGCTACTCGTGGAGTTCCATCACGTCCTCCTGTGAATTATGACCTTCCATCGCGCTGCGGCTTCATGTTGTCAAGATGATCAACTTTGATCAAACATACGTCCGTGGACGTTCAGCTCTACAAATAACCATGACACAGAAAACGAAAGCTATTGGTAAAAATGTATTGTTAGAAAACATTTCGTGGATGTCAAACAAAGAAGAAGCTCACATTTTGACACAGTGACAAAAATGTCCCGGTCCACGCGCAACATAGGGAGATGTAGTCCGTTTGTAGTCCACTTTACTGTACGTCCAACAAGCGTTTCTCTCTTACATCGAGCAACATGACACGAAACCACAGTAAAACGCAACATGTGACAAAACACACACAGGAAATACAAATTCAACCAATAAGCACATCAACTAATAAACAAACATAACAAAATAATAAATACATTGTGAAATAAATACGTTTGTTTCACTGCACGATTGCCATACACAAAGTCGGCCGTTTTTAGACGGCCATTCTGATACTTTTGCATCTAGAATTTTTGCATAAAGTCTTAAAATAATAAAAACAGTGTGCAAAATGATAGTCACGTCCACAGTTTGACCGCTCTCATTGCAACAGCGCCAGGTAGTTCCCGTGTATCACATTGAGGCCGCTACTCGGCCATTATGTCCTTCAGTGCATAATTAATGTCCCATTATTTATCTGGTGCAGTCCCCAGCGTTCTGGAAGGAAAAAAGGACAGGAGCAATTAAAAGAAGTTTTCAAAATGAGAAGGATACGCATTTAGTTATAAGGTATTTTTTAATTCTTTACAACTAAATAAGTTGATCTGAGTTAGAAATCTTGAGATTTTCCTCTGTATTCTGATACTTGGTATAAATTAGTTGTGACATTTTGCAGTCATTAAAATATGATTTGGCAACATACATTTGACAAAACGTGAGTGAGAGTCTGTGTGTGTATCCTTAGTGTTTACCTGGGGGGGGTTGGTGAAGTTTTTCTGTATCCTGTGTTTATGTGAGGAAGTAGATAAGTGTGTGTGTGTGTATGTGGTGACTTCACTGGTTTCTTCCAGTTCAGTGCAGCCCCTCACCTGTTTCACCTCTTCATCACAGGTCTGAACGCAGTGACCTTGTCATCTTGCAGTAGCCCACAGTTTTCACTGAGGTCAGAGGACCGTGTCTCTGCTTTACCACCAGACAATCCTAACAACCCAAATACAGCATACTGAGAAACTTGCCTCAGGTCCAAGTTGGCATAAAGTATCTTGTTACTTTTTAATCTTGTAAGTGTGTTTTACTATATATGAAACCACTTTTATTTAACATATTTGGCAACACTGGTTTGGCCTGTTGTACCAAACTATGTGATTTACTATATCACTGTCTGTCTACTGAATATAACACAGAAAACCTTTAAATAATGGAGATTTAAGAACATTTTTTTTCCCTTATAATATGTTAAACATTGCAAGTAAAAGTTGACATACCTTCAATTGTGGAGTATTGACATGTGTCTGGGAGTGCAGCATAGGATGGACAGTGCAGTTGGAGGCCTTTGTGACTATAGCTGCCAGTGCCGTAGAGGGGGCTTTCAGCAGCTGTGACTCCGCCGGCTTCATGGAAGCTTCTCATGCCTCCACAGTGTCTAGCAGGAGCCCCGGGAAGCCTGGTACTCTGGAGCTGGCAATCCCCAGTTGAGTTACCTGTCCTCAGCTCAGAGCTATGCTGCTGGGGACTCAGTATGACCCCTGAAACCGCCGTACGAGCCAAAGACCAAATCCGCGGTTTGTCTGATGCTTCAAAGTGAGACAGGGACACGGTTCCTGCTGCAGGGCTGGTCAGTGAAGGTGCCTTGGACACTACAGGATCCAGAAGGTCAGATGGGAGAGGTGGGAGGGTGGTGACACTTTTAATGGCACAGGGAAACGTGTGGAAGTTGTTAGTTAAACTCATGTGCAGCTCAGAGCTGCAGTCTCTTTTTTGTGGGGGCCCTGATACTGCCATAGCCCTCTGGAGGTCCTGCTCATCTGCAACCACTTTTTCACAATCACTGTCCAGCTTGTCACAGTCGTCCTCATCCATGTCCTCCAGATCACTCAGATGCAGATCTTTTTCCTCTTTGCAGTCATTAGACTCTGCATAAAAGACAGCAGATTTTAAGATCACACTATTTAAAAACACATCTATTGTGAATTCCTAGACACATAGTTTGTTCAGAAAACTGTAAAATATATGTTTGGTTTGTATGATTGACAACTACATATATGTCCCAAAGTTTAGTGTAAGTAGCTTATAGTTTAATGAGAATGAAGTCAGTAGTGGGACACCAAAAAGAAAATGAGTGAAGACCTTTGGTTACACAGTCTTGGTCGCTCTTGTTAAGGTCATCCTTCCTGTCATCGCTGGCTTTATTCTTTGGTGACCAGGTCATCTTGTTCTCCTTCTTTAGCCTCCTCCTGGCATTGGCAAACCAGGTGGACACTTGGGTGAGGGTCATTTTGGTGATGATAGCCAGCATGATCTTTTCTCCTTTGGTGGGGTAGGGGTTCTTGCGGTGCTCATACAACCATGTTTTCAGTGTGCTGGTGGTTTCACGAGTTGCATTCTTTCTCCTGGCTGTACCACTGAAGTCTACTGTCCCATATCTGAAGAAAAAAAAACAAAACATTTACATGCACATTCACAGACGCATACAGAGACACTGGCCATTAGTGTATTATGCACTACTCATTCAGACATCATATACCCCTACTCCCTGCTATTTCTAATGCCTACAGCTTCACTGCATACAGGTATCAGTATGGAGTTAGACTCTGACCTTTGATCTGAATGCAACGTATTCCCACAGGTGAATGCTTTTAAGGACTGTGGTAGAATGCTTTTTGGCAGTTTTGTTCAAGCTCATATTACAAGTGGTGGCTAAGCCTTACCTGTCATACGGATACTGTCCCAGTGAATGATCATAAGGGTAGTACGTGGTGGTTTGACTGAGGCCAGAGTGTAAAGTGCCTGTGCTGTCCTTAATGTCATACTGCGGATTCTGAAAAAGAAAAGGAGATTGTTAAAACACTGCAACATTCAGAGATTTGACATTGGTGTTAGATTTCAGCATTTAATGATTTTTGATAATCAGTTCATATATAAATAAACACGTTTCCTATTTTTCTGCTCTTAAACCAAGGGTAGGTCATTCTAACCAAGAGTGATTTGAGCATGGAAAATGTATATTTAACAAGTTTAAAGTATAATGTAAAGTAATATGTTCCAAGACTGGCCATTTTTATTATTATTACATATTCATTTTTATATGCAATACTTATATGGACATTATCTTTAGCTGATTTTAGCCTTTTAAAATAAGATGAAAGAAGCAAAAGTGCTATTCAAACCAAAGTCTCCCTTTTCAAAATAAATGAACAATTCTAACAGTAGAATAGCCTACAACAATTTTACTTTTTTCCAACAGAAAGAAGTGCCAGTATTTTTGAAATAAGGCAGAATGAGAAGAATTGTTTTAGAATAATAAAATGATATTTGATTCAAATCAGAAAGTCCCTCTACGCTCGTTCTACACTACTTCCCTCATCTCAATGACAGGATTTTTGTCGAGACTGACGTTTGCAGTGTGAGATAAATTGATGAACAAAACCCGGCTGATCGATAAGCCTGAGTTCCCTCCCTCCCCTTTGCGCATCAGATGAGGCTGAAGTGAGCCCACCAGAGTGGAGTAGATAGTGGATGGGTCGGTGCTGTAGGGGAAGTAGTTGGCGTAGTTCTGGCTGGCGGCGGCCGCTGCGGCATAGGGAGAGCTGTACATCCCCAGCGCTGCGTTCAGCTCCGTCCGGCTGCTCGCCAGGAGCCGGTTTTCGTAGGACGGGCAGCAGAAGGAGGCAGCAGCGGCGGCAGCAGCGGCTGTCTGGGAGCCGCCTGTCCCGTCAGAGACCGACCTGGAAATCGAATCGCAGCAAGTCGTACTGGGGTTTGCCGACACGAAAAACTGCATGAAAAGAATCGTGGACAGACATGGTCATTGGCTGTTTTAGCTCTTGTCTGGATGTCTGTGGCAACTCCACTGACTGCTGCGTGATGCTCTGTAAACAGATAAAGTTGCGCAGTATAGTAGTCAGGCTTGAAACCTTAAAATGAGTAAAGCTGTGAACTGATTTCTCTTCTTTCCGTGTAATTCTGTCAAATCATGATGAATCAGGTGTCATTTTCCTAACTTGTCACCTGCCTTAATTCAAGGTAAGCCACTCCTTAGATAATTACTGGAATGAGAGAAAGTAGTTTACATTACAAACATGCAATAAGCGATGCCACATCATTTTCCTTTTTTATTATAATAAAATGTGAATTTATTATTGCATATGAAGGTAAATAACACCAGAAGGACGTTTTCCAGGGATGAAAAGAGAGGTGCGCAATCCGTGCGTTAAAAGTGGCTCACTGGTTTCAAAATATACACCAAGATATTATTCTGTTAGGTAAATCACAACCTTGTTTCATATATAAAGGATCTGAGATTTAGGTCACATATAATCTGCTGACCGTGAAAAATATTATCGACATATAAGTTGGGTGATAACTCTGCCAAGAGAATAACTTTTGTTGCCTCGTCAACTTTTTTGAACTTATCAGGCGCAATAATAGTGACTTAAAATGTAAATATCAGGCTTTAATCAAGTTTTCAAAGTTCTCAAAACAACCCACTGTCTCAGTCATTTCAAGGGAAAGTTGATGAATGTTTACAACAAGTCTTGCAGCCCAATTACACCTCATGGTGCGCAATAGGTGACATTCATCTCTATTGTCATCAGAAAAACACGTGATTTCATTCATAATTCAGTGTAATTGGACACGGGCGCGTGTGTAACCGTATTCAGTTTAACAACAAAAGCATCACGCGAAAATAGCTGCCAATACTGTCAAAGGAGTCACTCATTCGTTAATGTTAATTATTAGAAGAAATTCCCAGACTATAGTAACATAAAAGATAATAATGCCAAAAAACCATTGGCATGCACAACCTTTAGATAAATATAAATCAAAGTGACTTACCTGTGAAGTTGCATTGTAAGGGTATCCAAACTGCGAGAAAGACATAGCTGCTTCTTTTGTTACCATCAGCAATATTCTTCACCCTTGATCGATTGCAACCAATTCTACTTCAAATCCACCGTCTTACACATATTTCCACGCACGGCCTTTCGCTCAATAATAGATGACTTCACTCATAGGAGGGAGACTTTAGGCTGGCATCAGCTGCAGATTGTTTTATATCACTGAATAATCCCCCCAAGGACCCGATGAGAAATGAAATTAAGCGTCATTAAGTGCAAAAAATGTTGTTGTGTTAGCTGAAGGAGGCTTAAAGGATAACGTAAGACTTGCAAGATATGGACTCTGCTTGTGCTATTATTTGTGGCTCTATAGTTCTTTAGCATTCATCCATGCAAGGGTATCAGCGTGACGTCACTGTAATCCCGGAACGGCGGGGTACCAAGGATAGAATAATGTCTTTGCCAATCACGTCCAACACTGGGCTTTCTTAAGGTGCACTGTACATAGTCTTGTCTCGCTTCTTAACAGAATGCTATCACCAGTTTGTCGAGATCAACTCTTGCCAAATTGTATTATTGTTCAGCACTACTGAATTGTAACATGGCAACATATGGAAAACCTTTAGATAAAAAAGATATTTTGGCACTCAAGTCAGTTTTCACAAACACATTCAGCAGAAGAAATGACTTTTTATTTTCACCCAAGTAAATAGGAATCACACATGTAAACTAATATCTCATGTGTATTTCTGATTTCTGAAAGATTGTAGTTTATTTTGTCTACAGTCTATTACAATTAAAATGGGTTAAATGTGCAGCTCGTCCACTTTTTTCTTTTTTAATCTAGATCTCTGTTTGCCTCTGACTCTGGCCAGAGGTCCACCCTGGAGTTAATGACGATGATGTTTCTATCCTTCTCTGTTAGAGAGTGAGGCAGTCCCAGCAGGAAGGGTTAGTGGGGTTTGGCAGGTCAATAGACCAGTGATTGATGTGCGCCTGGAGACCTACGTGACCATTACGCGTAATGCGTAATTGTATCAATTAACAAATGGATACATGCCCTTGTTTAACCAACGAGTAACAGAGTGAAAATATGCCTTAGAGGTGAAATCCGAAGAGCTGGGCTAGAAAAAAAGACAGTGGAAGCCCTGCTCCCCAGTCTAATTAAATATCCGTGGATGGGGGCGACGAGAATTGCATTTTAATTGAATAATGCTCGCTTGAAAGATGGGTAAGGAATGAGCCTGCCTCACACCGAATGAAACGAGAAATAATTTTAAGCCTTATTAGATCAGCTGCTCAACCATCACCAGCTCTCTCGCGCTTAGCCATAAACACCAACAAGCAGATCGCCCTCCTCGTGTGCTGCTGAGCTGGGACAGAAAGGGAGGGGGTCTGTTATTTCCCCATACACACACAGTATTTGTACTGAGAGTGACAGTGAACATCAGTCCTGCTGAGTATATGAACTGCCTGTTTCAGACTATCTACGGCTGTGTAAGACTTCCTTTGTCATGACTGATACCTTGTGCCAATTTTCCCCGGTGTCCTGCCTTTCCAAACTGATGTATGGCGTTTCCTCCCCAAGAGACGCATCTGCAATGACGGGCTTTCTCTCCGAGGGGCGCTAAAGAGCCGCGTGTAGGATATGAAGATCTTCCGTCAGGGATTTTCCACAGAGATAAGTTGGACATATAGTCTAGTGGTGATGGTCCAGGCTCTGTGAAGTGCAATTTTTAAACACCCACAGGCAAAAGAAACTCAAACACACCGCGCGTTTGGTTCTGACCAGCGGTCATTGCTTCTGACTTGCACCAAGACACAGCAGGGACTTGTTGAATAACACATCCTGGTATTCAAAAGTGAGCCTTATTCCTCGTTTGACCGTACTAAACCTTTCATGTGGTCGAATTCTTTGAATGAGCTGTCTTTAACCTTTATTGTCCCCACTGGTTTATTGTTTTGATCGCAGTTATCTCCTCGGCCATCTCAATTACTGACATTTCAGCTTGAAATCAGGCTCACTCAGGGTCCGATTTTTAATTATTTTCACAGTGCAGATAAATTTAAATCAGTATCTACAAATAAAAAGTACAAGGCAGCCTTATTATAACATACCTGTTTCTATCAGGGACCCCACGTAAAACAGAAGGGTAAGTGAGGATAAAGCATGAGGAAGTAATTATGGTTTATATACGTTATGTTGGTTATTTATAGGGTTCTAGATCAATATCTGAAGAAAAAAAAATAATGTAAACATCTACTTTCACGATATAAGAAAATAAGTGCTGCTTTAAGCTTTGCAATAATGCAACCTTCATATCATCCGCTGGGCTTTGAAGAAGTATGATCTTAGCAAGTAGGAGAATTTTCTCAACCCCTATAAATGAATATTTAATCTCTTAGTTTATCTTAAAAATTCAAACTCTTAACATTTTGCAGATTTGGTTTTAGTAGGACACTGACAATACCAAATTGGACATTCCATACCACCAATGATGGAAATCAGGAAGTATTTTAATAATGCACACTTTCATACCTAAATTGCTATTAGATATCAAACTGTACACACAGAGGTGGTTGAAAGTAGCTAAATGTAATTGGACGCCTGTAGTCAGTGCATTTCTACAAGGACATGCATGATGACCTAAGTGCATATGGACAGACTCATGCATAATGCATGTCCAGCAGTCAACTTAGATCCCACTGAATCAGAATGAAATGAACATTAAATGCAGTGACAGACTGACCACAGTGGCAATCCAACATTGATCTATTTCTTTTAGTGTTTTGTCTGGATTATATAGTAATCACATTCTAACAATGTTTGTTTTTTTGAGTAGCAGAATGGCTGACGATGCTAAAGATGGATTTGTACTTTTCAGAAGTGTAAGATGTATGTGGCTTCTTTTTGTTCACTGTAAAGTGTAATTTACACTGGTAACATTTGCCATTTTAGGAGTAATACAGTGCAATTTAACATGTTACATGATGAATATGATTTGACTTATTTTTGTAAATTGCATGATTAGAATATGTTCTTCCAGCAGTGTTAATGTAATGGGCCCCCTTCAAGTTCAAGCCCGTCCTTGCCTGATTACACCAACCTGTGCTTAAATCACATAGAATTTACATGAAGTTTGGACAACAAATAAAGAGGGCTGGAAAGAAGGCGTACTAAATTAATTTATTCATTTTTTATTAGTGGGGCAAAGGGCCAAAACAAAAGATCACCAAAATGTTCAGATAACCACAACAAAGTATGGCAAGTAAATGTTTAGCATTCTGCATACCTGCACTGTCGTGTCACACACAAAAAAACTAAACACACCACTCTGTAAAAACATCTGGCAGCTGCAATTTGTAAATAAACTATATGACCCAAGACTGGTCATATAATACAACATTTAACTACTAGCAGACAAAGGTGTTCACCCTTACAATGCATTCACTCACATCATTTAAGAATAAAGTCCAAATCTCTGTTGTGTCTTGTTCTAACCAATCCATGTGGTTCCTAATGAGAACGAGTAACACATGCATCACCACTGGATACATCACTGAGTGGAAAAAGTTTTTAAAAAATCTGGAAAGGTTAAGTCAACACTCAGTAGCTCCCAGTCCTATTCTCCTACTTAATACATTTCCTATGCTGACTTAATGAACCACACAAAGCCTTTCTGGTTTTTCATCACATGGTGGGTAGTGGCAGGTGTGGTGGAGGTGGAGGGGGGGTGTATGAAATGATAATAAGGGCAGACAGATGGAGAGATGGAAGGAGAACCCTGAGTCAAGCAGGGGACGAGGCTGCACCTACCTGGAGGTGTGCGATTTCATTAAAGCCAAATTGGTATATGCCAATAAATCCAAGGCACTACTGATCTGGAAATATTACATGAGCACACACACATATACAGTGCATTATTAGTACTGCTAAATTATCCAAAATGGAAAGAAAAGTAATAAATATTATAATGAGAAATAATAGAGTAATGGGGGAGACAGTCACAGCAGTGGCCGGTTAACACCAAAACAAACATCCCTGGGGCTGATGAATAATTACAGCTCACAAAGGGTGTCATTAAAGCTTCATCAAACAAAGCAAAAAGGCATGGGGGTGAGTATAACATCACAATGGCTGCCTTAATAAATCAATCTGGTGTAGAGAAAAAAAAAGATGACTGTATGTGATCACAGTACAGGTTTGCACAGTTTACATAGCTGCTGTATATGTAGTGCACCTATGCTGATTGTATCTCAAGTTTACTGTATGTGCTGTGAGAGAGCATTATTATTGAAACACAAATCTCTACTTGAATGGATAGGAATAATTGCTGTTTCATTTGTACCCCTCTTCATTTTGATTGCTTGTATTCAGATGTCCAGCTCAAACAATCCTTAGACATTTTGTGTTGGGAGCCGCATATTTGAGAGACCACTGGGTGTCCTGGGAGAAGGAGAGAGAGAGAGAGAGAGAAGAGTGGGCATGTGTGTGTTGTTTGTGTGTGTTACCTGGCAGAGTCCCCTTGAGGCTCTACTGTAAAGCTATCATCAGTGGTGGTGTCAGGGATTTGTAACTTGTCGCTGAGAGAGAGAGAGCGACAGTGAGTGTTGGCAGTAACTCTTATGGGGAGAGAGCATGGCTTTGCTTGAGTGTAGGTGTGTGTACGAGAGAGGGAGGAGAGATGGAAATGAGTGGGAATGATGTGTGTGTATTTTCTCTCCGGATATATGTGTATGTGTGTGTACTGGTAGTTTGTGGGTTGATCATATGATGTGTATCCATGCGCTGTCTTTTATCTAAAGGCCTTAGGCTCTTTGTCTGTGTGTATTCTTGTCAGCAAGTGTGTGTGTACATGTCTATTCTGGGTGTGTCAAACTGACTGCTGTGGCATTGCCAGGATCTCCTTGAGCATTAACGTTCACATTTGGATTTGAATGTGATCGAATATATATTTTCATTCAGCAGCAGAAAAGAATTTGTGTAGGCTACCTCCCTGCTACTATGCCCATGTTTGTGCATGTGTGGTCTTTGCCACGATGGATGCTAACTTCAAACCAAACTTTCCCTCAAGGTAGAGGGCCAGCAGCAGCAAAACGCTGCTGTCGGGTAAATACATGTATATGCCAAAAAAAAAAGTTCCTCAGGAATGACGAATAGAGGGCTCATTTTCACATTGACAACCATGTATTTCTGAAATCACATATTGGCGGTTGACCAGGTTTCAAGGGCCTGAGGGTCATGAAATTCACCCAACTCATAAATGATCATGTCAGCGTTCAAACAGTGGAAGAAAAAGAAAGACAAGGAAAATTGCAGT